AGCGCACCATCAGTCTTTCCTACTAGGGTGGCCACCAAGAAGAGGACACTGCCCAGGAGCCACCAGTTTCTGGTCTCTTTCCTGCCAGTCACAGCAGGAAGACGACTTCCACAGCTGGGCGTTAACGCCTTGCTCAGGGCCGCTTTCTCTTCTTCTCTCCCTAGGCTGCATTCTCTTCACCTTAGGCTACTGGTGACCAAGGCTACCACCACCTCCTCACAGATGGAGGACAGGGAGAGAGAGGAACCTTGACACCAAGAGAACAAACTAGCACCTCTGTATCTCTGCCACAAAATGGCGGCCCTTCTCTGCTATGGTGGGTCCAGAATGGCCACTACTGCTTTTCTAAAACAATCTGAAATGTGACTAAGCAGGTAAACAGAACGGGAGGCCGAAAGGCCACGCTCCAGCGGTTGGAGCTCTGTCTCAGACTAAGGCGAACAACGAAGACAGACAGCACACACCTTTATGATTAAAAACAGCACACACCGGAAGAGAATGTCCCAGCCACCATAATTTCTGGATCAACTTCTTAGTTGACCCTTGCTCTCATCCTTCAATGTTCAGTGAGACTCCCAAGACACGCTGAGCACTCGAAGGGGCAGACACTTCAGCAAAGCCTCCTACAAAGACCTTTAGAGGCCTGATGATTAACTTTTGTACATATGTAGACACAGGAGCTTAAGTCTTCATGGCTGGCTTAAATGAAGAAAGAAATGAGGCCATGCCATAGGATAAGGATGACACCATAATCTTCAAAGGTAGTATTTCAATTTGTTCAGATGACAACTCCTCACCCAGATCAGAGGCAGTGAGCTGAAAAGCTAAAGGAATCCACATATGAAACATTTTTGATAAATCATCCAAATAGGTAGTCATGTCACTGTCACAATATGCAAAGCCCTGGAAAGGTGCAGCAGAAGCATGTACATGTGTATGTACACACACACACACACACACACACACACACACACACACGGTGCTGTGGAGAAGCAAGACATTTACATCCATCAGAAACACACAATTCTGCCTTGAAGCAAAAACTTCCATCAGGTTACACATTGCTCTCCCATTACTATGCACGGTCACTCATCAAGTGTTGAACCCTAAGTAACAAAATAAAATTCATGTGCTCAGAATTTCAAAAATTTGTTCTTCAGAGGGAAAAATGAATGTGCAACTAAGGTCTGCATCTCTGGGTCTGTAGTTTTAAAAAACAAAAGCTACTGTATCATATCATAGTTTTTTTTTTTAAAATGTGCACTTAACAAAGGTGGAAAATACAAAAATCTTCTCCTGGTCAGGGAAGCTCTCCACTGGGAGACCCTCTGCCCTGTGCCTGAGCCACACCCAGCCCTCACTGAGCCTAGAGGCACAGGGTGACTGACAGGCGACCCGGAACATGTTTGGCAACCCCAGATACTCCACCGAGGGAACTTGAGGCAGCAGACAGGGACCAGCAAGACCCACGTCAGATTTACAGACATCACCCACTCCAAGAGATGATGAAGATGGAACAGTCTATTTTCAAAGACAAAAGCAAGACAATGACAAGAGGCAAGGTTCACTGTGTGCATCCTCTGCGTGGGGAACTTGCTCACTGCTCTATCACTCCTTACAGTAACCTTCTGAGGGACTAAGAGCCTCATTTTTGAGATGTGGAAATCGAGGCTCAGATGAAAGGTTATTTTTCCCCCACTAAAAAATTGGTACAACATGGTTGCAGATGATGGTGTGACCTGTCACACAGTCACACGTGCACACAACATAACAGGACTCAGACTCTCCTGCACCCCCTTACCATCCCCCCTCCCGTCCCAGCCCCTCTCCTCTCCTCTCCTGACCTCCCTTCAGTTTTCACCCCACACCCCTTTCTTTTCCTTTTTCCACTCCAGCTTCCACATATGAGAAAACACGTGACCCTTGACTCTGAATTTGGTTTATTTCCCCTAACATCATGTTCTCAAGTTCCATCCATTTTCCTGCAAATGACACGATCTCATTTTTCATTATGGCTGAATAAAACAACATTGTGGATATATGCATTTTCTTCATCCATTCATCTGCTGAGGGGCACCTAGGCTGGTTCCACAGGTTGGCTACTGTGATTTGTTGTAACCGCGGGTACACACGTGTCGCTACAGCACGGTGACTTTAACCCTTTGGGCTAAACACCAAGGAGTGGCATAGCTGGGTCATATGGCGTTTCCATCCCTGGTCTTTTGAGGAGCCTCCACGCTGACTTCCACAGCGGCTGTACTAATTGACAGTCCCACCAACAGTGAAACAGTGCCCCTTTTCTCCACCTCGTCTCCAGCATTTGTTATTATTTGTATTCTTGATGGCTGCCACTCAGACTGGAGTGAGAAGAAATCTCAGGGTGGTTTTGATTTGCATTTCCCTAATTGCTAAAGATGTTGAATGTGCTGGCCATTTGCATTTAGAGAAGTGTCTGTTTAACTCATTTGCCCACTTATTTGTCTTATTTTTGTGTTGGGTTTTTTTTTTTTTTTTTTAATTCTTTATATTCTCTAGATATTAATCTGCTGTCAGAAGAGTAGCTTGCAAAGGTTTTCTCTCAGGGTTAAGTTATTTAAGCCATAACTTGTACAGATTTAGTGTTTTTAATTCATCTCCATTAGTGCTCCTGTCACTTATAGATCCCCTGATCATGGGAAATGCACCACTGGTGTAAGAATCATGAAATTCTGACAAATACCAGGCATTCACAGAGCCATACAACTGTCATGGCGCAAAAGCATGCTGGGGGTGGTGATGGTGCACGGGATTGGTGATCTGGGGGCCAATGGATTAAGAGTGAGATTCTGCTGCAACTCTACACCTTACACACGTAAGACTAGCACAGAATCAGGTGACATTATGCTGCTGCTTCTACAACTCCTGTTTCTCTGGCCACATCCTCATGTGTAAAATGAAGCAGCTGTACTTGCCCCAGAGGAAAGTCGTGAAGATTAAATGTGACCTTGCTGAGTGCCCACCAAGGATGCCTCTCCCTTTATCCAGTCTAGTGCAGACAGGCAGTAAAGACTGCAAAACTGAGAGGGAACACCAGCATGGAATACACAGGAAAAGTTTTTTGAGATCACAGGGGCTGGGACGTAGTTCGGTAGCGGGGTGCCTGCCAAGCATGTGTGAGGCACGAGGTTCCATCACCTGCCCCCGCAAAACAAAAACACCACCAGAGGTTGAAGATTCACTCCTGGCCTTGAATCCTCCTTGGAATGTGGACTGGTAAGGTGCAAACTTCTGCTGAGCGCGCAGATGGGGTGGCCCACAGGCCTTCTGAAGGGCTGCAGACCCAGCGCCCGGCACTCACAACCCCGTGCCTCGGGTCCAGAACAGGATTTCCTCTGCCTTCCTCCCATAGCTACATGTATGTCTTCCTGATCCCTCCTCTTATTTAGGAAGTATAGCATGCTTCAACTGTCATCATTCACCAGGGTTAAAATCATATTATTTCTAAAGACCGAACCTATTCCAAAAATTTAAATAATCATTAATATTGAAAGACAAAGCAATGTTAATCAATGCGTATATTCTAAGTTCTTAAAAGTCAACAGTCAGGTAAAAGTCCCAGCATCCAATACGTCTGTGACCTGTTATATAATTAGGAGTTCCCACAGGAAAAATCTGAAACCAAGAGCTAAACCCACCTCGGCATGCAACATCGCCTTTTAAAATCTACACCTGAAACACTGACACTCTGAAGAAGATTCAGAACTTAGTTCCCCGCCAAGCCTCAACTCACGCTCCTCTATGTTCTGCAGAAGCAGCACCAGCTGAAGTCAGTACCCGCTGGAGCAGGACGCCCCAGCACAGCGAAGGCGGCCTCGGGAAGCCACTGGGGGGCCTGCTCCTCCGTTCAGAGGGAGCCCGGGGCCTGGAACAGAAGCCTGGAAAGGGTGGGAACAATCTGCAGATCCACCAGAGTGAACTTAGATCATGCACGCTGAGTCGGCTCTTTAATTTGTAAGTGGCATAGAGCACACTCTGGGGTTCGCATTTCCAGCCATGGTCATTAAGCTGGGAGAATTCTGAACTGAACTCTGCCCAGAGGACAAACGCGAATATGAAATCAACCATGAGTCATTTCTTGTAAACCAAGTCAGACTCATTCCTCCTTTTGGCTGATGCACCAGACGGTCCACAAAACACTCTTGACACTGATGGAGAACCGCTCCATGAGTTATCTGAGTTATCGGTGGGGGTGTCAGAATAATCCTCTCCCTATTAGCAACAACCAGCACCTAGACGCCCTTTACCGATGCCCTGGACCAGGGGCACTGTGTACAGCCTGGTGACCAAGTCAACCCTGTGGGTGGAAAATCTGCTCAGGGCAGGTTCAGGTCCTTCAGCTCTTCTTCTCCTGTCAAATTAGCTGTCATAACTTGCCGTCAACGCTTGGTCTGTCATTTCGTTGAGTGCAGAGCTTTCGAGTGCATTATGCTTCCACGGCAATTCAAATCACCACCTGGCCACTGTGTCTCACTTCCATGAGGACAGTAAGGGTGCCCCCTTTATCCAAAAACAACTACTTGCCACAAAAAGTGCTCTCTCGAGTCCTGCTTTCCAAAAATGTAACTATTCAAAGGGCAGGAACATGAGCTTGGATGAAGCAAACCTGTTCAATTTTTACTAAAACTAAACTTAAACCATAAGCCTTCATTTAACATGGATTTTTGTACTGTTTCAAGTCTCAAAAGAGAACGTTACAGCCCCCAAAGACTAAATCACTTGTCTCTTTTAAGAGTTATCAGAATAGCATTATACTGAAAGTGACAGTCCGGCTCTGCTTTGTTTGTTAATGCAGCACAGACTTGCTGGCCAATTGCAACTGGTCCTAAGTCCTTATCACAAATAAAACAATTTTTGTGCCATTTCTATTTTTCACTTAAACATCCCCAGCTTTCCAAGACTCAGGACCTGTCAAGTGCTCTGTTGCCAAGACTCTGCCTGTCAGAAAGGTCAGCCTCCAGTACCTTCCAGTTGGGTCCCAGAGGGCCTCTCTTGGTCTTGACTGACTGGAATAATGCTGGGTCTTCATCAGTTTTATAGTCCTGTAAAGAAAAACAGAATCAGAGGCTGAAAAGAAAACCAGAAAAAACCCTTTAACCTTACCAGAACAGCCCTCTTTGCAGCTACCAAAACTCATTCAACTTCCTATGCTTTTGCACGCAAGTAGTAAAATACTCCTGCATGCAATTAAGTTTGCAGTTTATTCTCTTTGCTTTAAACTTTTATCTTAGGCAACATGGCTACAAAATAACAAGTAATAAAAGTCCTGATCAGCAATCCACCATGACTGGTTACCAGACAGCTATCTGAGAACGAATCTGCCAACACTTTTCAACAGTCTCAGCATTTTGATACACAGGTAATCACATTCAAGAAATAAAACACACCACCTCATCTTCAACAACACCTGCAGATGGCTGTCCTGGACTCCTAATGTCCAGAGAGAACGTCCCCTGTGACACAGATCAGAAGTACCAACCGCGTCCCCCTATCTCTCCTATGGTGAGGTCTGCTCTGGATAGCTCCAGTTCTTGGTCAACCTCTCCAAAGAGGTTGTTTTCAGAGAGCTGTAGGAGGCACAGATCTGGGTTCCTCAAGGAAGAAGGACTACATTCCTGTCAGCCTCTCACTGTCAAAGACAGTAAAGGTCAGGTATCATGGGACTGCCATAGCTATATCACGCCACAGAGGAAGGGCGCTAAACTCTAGACTTTATTCAAGGTTCTAGTGCATGTAAATTTCATTTGCCTTAATCCCCTATTCCTGACAGAATGGAGAAAATAAAAGGAGTAAATCTTTTCTCACCTATCTGCTTTATAAAAGTTCTTGTCATTACGCACATATACATACTCTAAGGATAGAAATAAAAAATTATTTGTGAAGTGCCAAAAATAAACAAGCTGTAGCCATGCGTAGGGTGATGCATGCCTATCATGCCAGCAACTCAGGAGGCTAAGGCAGGAGGATCTCAAGTTTAAGACCAGCCTCAGTTGCCTCAGTTGCCGCAGTCTGGCTGGGCACAAATCACAAGCCACTCAAGCAGGAACAAACTTTATTTCTGAACTCCACCAGCACACTCCACACAAGCTCCCTGGGAACTCTCCCGAACGCCACCCACACGAACGCCACCCACACGGCTCCTCCAGGAACACCACACCCCAACTGGAACTCCCTCTCCCGGAACTTCCCCAACCAATGCGAACTCCCCAGGCAATCCTGGGGACAGTAAAGGTCTAATATACAATTGAATCAATCCAGCATCATCCTGCCTCTCAACCAATACTATTGGCAAAATGCCAGGGGCCATTCCAACTTTGGCTGTGGCTCTCAACACTCAGTAACTTAGCAAGGCCCTATCTCAAAATTTAAAAAACAGCTGGAGAAATGACTCAGTGGTAAAGCACCCGGGGGTTCAATCCCCAGCAAGTTATAAGGTCAGAGGTAAGTTTAACATACTGCAGAGAGAGGAAGTGTACGGGTGGGGAGTCTCCTTTCCTGTTTTTTTTTTTTTTTTTTTGCAGCATTTGTAAAGGGACCACCAACTGTGGGGAACATGTCCAGACAAGTCAGGCAGGATACCCTACCTAAAACCACTGTCTGGGAGATGAGGGCAGCTCCAGCACAAAGCAGGCCCTGGACATGAACAAAGATCTAATACCAACCTTTACAAATCAAAGAAAACATGTTGAGAAGCTGCCATTCAAAACTCAATTGCTACTCAGTAAGCGATATGGCATGTTAATTTGTAGGGAGAAAGTTATAAATAAATTATACAAAGAAAAAGAAATGTGAGGGTCAGGGAGAAAATAAAACTTGAAAGAAAGATAATTGGGTAAATATGTGACCTTGAACTTGAAGCCTGGCTCAAGGTTGTCCAGAAGCTACAAAAAAGGCCCCACAATGGGCTAAAAATGTTGAACAAGCAAACTTAGCTGGTGACACCGACTTTTAAGGCTGTAAAAACATGCCATGTGGCACAGCTATGGGCATGAGGTCAGCCAGCATGACGTAGCAACAACACACTGAGAGGAGCTGCCTATGAGGAGTTGGGCAACTGAAATTACTTCGTAAGCCTGGGCTCAGCGCAAAGCGATATTACTGCCAGCAAGTAGGGATCCTTAAATTCCAACTGAGAACTGCACCCTCAAAACTTCACTTGTGATGAAGATTCAGTTGTACAGGTGGTCTTGCGCCTGACTGGCCATGAGAAATAAGTCCCCTGCTGACAGGGACAAGTCTGCCTGTATACAGCACAGCACCGCTGCCAGTGCACGAATGCATCTGATCTTGCTACTAAGGCAGAAAGGACTTTTAGGTGATACCGGCACAATGTTTTCTTTAAAAATTCACATTAATGGTCACATCCCACATCTTTGCAGAAAAAATTCTGGCATAAAATCTGCAACAATCACGTAGTGAAATAAAGTAAATATAAAAAAAAAAAACAACTTTTCTTTTAGGTCAGAATAATTAAATTAAGTTTAAATTTAATTAAAACCCTCAATCAGGCTTGCTTTTTCCCCCCAAATTAAAAATTAACATCATATTAAATAATCACTTTCGGCATCATTTCCCTCAATCAAAGCCTATCTACTGAAGAGCTCCACGCAGAGGGGCACACACAGGATGCTGTCAGGGAGAGTCCAAGGGCTCAGAGGAGGAGGCCCAACCAACACATCCCCGACTCCTAGAGAGTCAGGCCAGTTGGAAGAAACAGAGAGACGCAAAAACAAACAAACAAGACAGCCAAACCCCAGGAAGCACATGGAACTGTCACAGAGAGCACAGTGAATTATAGGCAGAATTGGAACCAAATGAAACAGGCAAGAAACCCATTTTTAAAATGAATTTTAAAACATTTAAAAATAGAAAAATCTTACTGTTGGTTGTATTGTAACTAAAATATTTTGATGATTAATTTTTTTTTAAAAAGTGTTATATGAGGCTGGAGATGTGGCTCAAGCGGTAGCGCGCTCGCCTGGCATGCGTGCGGCCTGGGTTCGATCCTCAGCACCACATACAAACAAAGATGTTGTGTCCGCCGAGAACTAAAATATAAATATTGAAAAATTCTCTCTCTCTCTCTTTAAAAAAAAAAAAAGTGTTATATATGTGTGTGTGTGTATGTGTGAGTGTGTGTGTGTGTTTAGCTGTAGACAGACACAATACCTTTATTTATTTTTAAGTGGTGATAAGGGTCGAACCCAGGCCTCACATAGGCCAGGCAAGTGCTCTGCCACTGAGCCCCAGCCCACCCTGAGGGTTAAATTTTAATCATCAGTATAATGTTCCAAAGCCTGGCCAATGTTTGCCAGTTTATCTCACCTGAGGGAAAAATCCTCTTCCCGTTTTTTGCCTATTGACTGGAGAGTGTCATGGCACACCACACTCACGACACTGGTGGTTTTATTTTACAAAACCTGAGCAACTAGGGAGCCTGAAGGAGTGGAACAGTCAATACCATACATTTCCTGCATCCAAGAGGCCATCAGTTACAGGATGCGCCATTATTTTATGTACCATTAGGAAGAAAAACACTCAGCCAATAAAACATGCCATAATTGGAAGACAACTTCTTGATTTTGGATTTGTTAAAATATGAGGGGGGAGGAGGTGGGACTGTAGAACTGATATTCGGAGTGCAGAATCACTATGAATTTTAAACCTGCCCACTTCAAGAGAAAGATAAAATATATCCACAAAATACAGCATACATAATTACTGCTAGAGCTAAAGGAATAACAGCAATGGCATCATATGACAAGGGCAGTAATCCACAAACCAAGAAACAACTAATTTAAGAAAAGACAACTTGGCCTAAATTGAGGTCAGCATAAACCATTGTCATGTACAAGTAAATTAATCAAGGGGCAAGTCTCCCCAGAGACGGACCTGGGTAGGGCTATGAGCCCAGGGAAGGTTTGGTACACTGAATGGGTGAGACGGGCCTCTGCTGGGTCCTCCTCCCCACAACGCCAGTCCCATTCCAGTCTGACAGCTTCAGGAAGACTATTCAAATCTGACGTAGACTGACTACAGAAAGTGTAACAAAGATTCAAAACTTCTCTGCTTTGGACCTCGTACACTGTTCCCAAAAGTCCATTTCTGAACCTTCGTTATCAGTGCTGAGTGATCAGGGAGACACTTTTCTCCTATGGATTCACACAATCATGGAGGTGAATTGAACCTCAAGTACCCAAAGCCCCTCATTTTCTAGATGAGGAAACCACTGTCCAAGAGGAGGTGGCCAGGTCCCCTCCCTCAGGACTCCACATCCAACCTTCCCAGCCTCATCTGGGGCTCTTTCTGGCACACCACAGTAGGGGATGATGGCAGAAGCTGCCAGCAAACTCTGCCTCATCAGATCACTTCAAGAGCACAACGAAGCTGCGACACCAGAGATGCCCAGGTGGACTTTCTTACGAGGGAGATCCATACACACGTATACGGGAGACCAAGTTTCCCCTCTCTGCCTTTTCCTCTTGAATGCAAAACAGCAAACATTAAAGATATCATACTGAAAATGCAAAGAAACCCAATTATTAACAATAGCACTTTAACCTTGACAGTTGAGAATAATGCATCTTGTCAAAACCTAGGAATTTTTTGTGCTTTTTAATGTTGGTCTGAATGTGTAAATGTTTAATCAGTTGAATTAAGTAGCAAGATATTAAAAAGCAAGTAGCAGATGTAGTTTTAACAACCTTGGTTTTGCATCCCTACAATAAACATTTAATTTTTTTGAACAGTATCTTCTCTGCCACAATTTTATTGTTGAGTATCTGATTTGGTCTTTCTGTATTTGAAAACTGGCCGATTTATATCCGTATCACAATGAACAAATATATTCCTTCATGTATGACAGTTTCAGTATACAGAATGCAACCTCAGCTACCAATTATAGCTGCAAATGAGCAATAGTGTGGAATGAGACAGCCTGCTGGCTTTGTTAGTATTCTGTCTCCTTTGGGATCCCATGGGGAAAGGGGAGGCTCTGATGAAGAGAAGCCCTTGGCTCATGGTTTATTGTGCTTGCCACCAG